ACTTTTGTTGTGATTTGGCGCTATACAAATAAAATTTAATTTGATTTGATTTGATAAGCAGTCACCGGCCACATCAACTTGACCAGTGTTTGATTGTTTGTTGTGTCTTGTTGTTTTTCTTCTTCTCTCTCTCCTCTATCCACTCAACCCAAACGATTGAGGTAGAAGGCCGCCTACAAAGAGCTGGGGTCTGTCGGAGGTTTCTTCCGTTAAAGGGAGTTTTTCCTCCCCATTGTCGCCAAGTGCTTGCTCAAGGAGGATTTGTTGGGTTTTCCCTCTGTAATAATAGTGATAACAATAGGGTCTAGACCTGAGTTTGTAAAGTGTCCTGAGATAACTTTTGTTGTGATTTGATGCTATACTAATAAAATTTGATTTGATTTGATTTGATTTGAAGATGGACAGTTTAGGAGCTTTCCAGCAGCCTTCACAGGAAGTCACACCCACATCCTGTTCAATCTGAGCCCAATTAAATGTCATCAAATCAAACTTTTCAGCTTCTACTCAGAACGTAATGATGTTCCTCTATATGACAGAGAGTGATAACATTTTGATCTACGTTGATCGCCATACTATTACTTAAATATTGTGCTTGAAAATGTATCTGGGCTACATTTTTCATATAAAGCGTCATCGTATCAGTTTGCTGCTGTATTTCAGCTGACCAGGCTTGATTTGATATGAAACTGCATAAATACATTCACAGCCATTGGTGATCTGTCAAATATTTAGTCTGCTTCATCTCTGTACAGATGTCATTGTAAGGATCTTTACATCCCGCTTACCAAAGGCTTTTGTGTCTCAATTAAAACTTTATGAATGAAATCAGTTCATATTGTAGAGCAGAGCTATTACAGGTTGCCTGCAGTATCACACATTTATTCTTTTATCAGAATAAACCTTCTTAGTGCAAACACCAATTAATAAAATCACAATCACTGCAATTGTACAAGAAACGATATGTTTCTATAAAAAGTCATGATGTTGATCCAAAATCTTAACCAGTCAGCGCTCAGGTCAGGTGAGACCTAGTCATCTCCCATCATGCCCTGAGCTCTTGTAAACTGTAACCGCAGTGCCTGGCTCCAAAAACAGCTGCCTCGATCTCATGACAATATCTTTGCCCACGTGGCCATTATGTCAGAGTAAGGTGGGATCAAGTCGAACAAAAAACCAGTGGTGGAAGAAGTACTTAGATGCTTTACACAAGTAAAAGTAGCAATACAACTGTGTAAAAATACTCTCTTACAGGTAAACATCCTGCATTCAAAAAGTAAAAATACAAAAGTATTAGCATAAAAACATACTTAAAGTAATAAAAGTAAAAGTACTCATGCAGAATGGCACATTTCACATTCTTGTATATCATATTATTGTGTTATAATTACTGATACATTATTGTGCACGTCACATTTAATGTTGCAGCTGGTAAAGGAGCAGCTAGTTTTAACTAGCTTATACGCATTTAATGTGAA